CCAGTAAGGGGTGTGCAGGAGGCAGCTGATCAATGTTTCTCTCTCATCATTAATGTTTCTATCTCTATCTCTCTCTTCCTCTCTGAAATCAATAAAAATACATTTATAAAAAATAAAATAAATAAAAACCAGTATTAAACTAGAAATGGTAAAACATAGCCCTAGAATGGGTGTATCTAGATTGTTTCTCTGTAGATATGGCAGTCTGAACTTAAGGATGGATTTATCTTTTACTATTATAGAGCATGAGTTGACAAACTTTTTCTGTAGAGGGCCAGATAATATTTTTTTTTTTTTGGCTTTGTAGTTTATCACCTCTGATGCAACTCACACAAGTCTGCCATTGCAGCTCAAAAGACAATGGTAAACGAATGGGTGCCTGTGTTGCAATAAAACTTTATAAACACTGGAATTTGATTTCACATAATTTTTGCATCTCATAAAATAGTATTCTTCTTTTGATTTTTCCCCAACTATTTAAAAATGTAAAATCTATTCTTTGCTCATAGGTCTTATAAAAACAGGCATCTGCAAGCCATAGTTTTCTAATTGACCCCTGTCCAAGAGGCAGAACTGGCACATGCCTTGAGTTGGTTCTGAAAAGGTTCATCTTAGCTCCACTTCTAATACATGTAAACTGCACTGCTGCCCTAAACACGAGTTCCTTTCCTGGGCTCCAAGCAGAACCTCCAGATAACACTCTTTCTTTGAAGTTGTTATACTAGGTTTTGGGTTCAGTCCCCTGTCGGGGTACGTGCGGGAGGCAACTGATCAAAGTTTCTCTCACACATTGATGTTTCTCTCTCTCCCTCTCTTTTCCTCTCTCTAAAATCAATAAAAACCTATTTGTAAAAAATCATTATGATACAATGTGATAATAGGCCAAGCTCCAAGTACAATGCTGGCATGATAAAGGGAAGGAGGAATTGGTTCTGAAAGGCAGGGGTGGACAGGGTGGGAGGCATTGACTAGGAAGCACAAAAGAGTCAGTGTTGGGGCTCAGCTTGACAGCAGAAGAGTGAAGGGAGGACATCCTCTGCAGAGGCACCGTCTGTGCAAAGTCAGGCCAGTACACACATGTCTTGGATTCAGTGAGTCGTCCCCCATCCCTTCCCCATGCGGCTAGAGTGTGGGATGTGGGGAGATGGTGGGAGATGAGTCCAGAAAGGGAGAGTGGGCTCAGGTTACAATCCACAGTGCAGTGTGCAGATTTTGTGTTTTAAGGCACTGAAGTATCCCCTAGAGAGGTTTTTAAACATAGTAGTAACGTGATCGGCTCTGTAACTCTAGAAATTAAACAGGTAGCAGTGTGGGAGCAGGGAGAGATTTCAGGCAGGAAAACCACGAGGAATGACTGTACTGAAGCAAACAAGAGGTACAGAGGACTGACAGCAGAAAGCACTGATTGTGGTCCTGATGCAAGTGGGGGGCTGGTGTACGGTGCCCACCCTCAGGGCAGCGGCTTCATCCTCTCTCTGAGGGCTGAACTGGATGGCTTCTGAGGTCGCTTCCTGCCCTCACATGCTCCAACTTTGCCCTTCACTCTTCGAGAGCAGCCACACAGGCCCCTCCCAAGTGGTGGACTGAAGAATCTCTTCCCTCTAGCATCCTCTTGACTTTTTGCTGTATCCATGCCAGTGGTGGCAGGAAAATCGTTTGAACAGCATTCGATGCCATTGCCCTTGCTCCTGTCTACACATGAGCATTTTGGGAGACAGACTCCTTAGCAGACAAGCAGGCAGGTGGCAAGGCTGACAGGCGGAGAGAGTGCTGGTGAGCACAGGTAGGGGCTGAGCCCATTTTAGCCCATGGCAGTACTGGGGTCATTCTATAAACCAATCAACAGCACTGATATATAGCATGGTTTAAACAGTATGTTTGCCCCCAAAATCTCAGGTAATCGATGGAGGAAAGGTCGTTTCTCTATTCATTAAGAGAATTTGTGTTTCCCCAAAGGGTTTTGAAGGAAAAATTCTAGATAACCTTAATGAAATAAAAACTACCTGCATGATATGAACTGCATGAAGACCGGAACACCGGATTTGAACTAATAGCCTGCAGTCCTTAAGTGTTTAAACAAAGGATAACAACAGAGAGAAACAGATCACATCATTACCGCTCACAAGGCTCCAGTCACACTCAGGAGGACATTCGAACTGCTACCACCTCTCTCTCTGAGTTTGCCCTCTCCGTGCCTCCCCTGAGTGCCCGCCTCGGGGCACCTGGACTGCTTGCTGTTCTCAAACACACCAAGCTCTTTCCTCCTCAAGCCCTATCCATGGGTCATGCCCTCTGTCTAGAATGTTCTTTTCCCAGGTCTTTGAGTGGATCCCTCATGTTCTTCAGATTTCTGATGTAATATTACCTCCTTAGAGAGACTTACCTGATTATTCTCTCTAAAGTAAAACACCTCTTCCCCCCAATCCTGGTCTGTTTTTCTCTAGCAATTTTCCCCCTTAATTTTCCTTCATTTATTACCCCAGAATAGTATTGTAGATTCATTTAATTATTGTCTTCCACTCCCACTAGACTGGAAGCTCCATGGGGGTGAGAACCTGTCTGGGCTGCTGAGTATTCTCCCCACAGAGAACAGTACCTGGCACATGGTAGGCGCTCAGTTGGTATTTGTTAAGATTAGAAAGCTGTCCTGTGGAAGGATGGCACACAGATGAGGGAATCCACCCCCTTTTTCTGAATGCCTACCACACGCATCTATAAGTCTAGTGGTAAGCATATTCTAATTAAAAAACTAATTAAATATTTATATTATTTATATACTATATTTAACAATGTGATGTAATGTCTTAATAAAGTAATATGTAATATTAAAATAATAATTAATAATGGTAATGATAAACACCCATTTATTTAGGTCTTACTATGTGCCAAGTACTATTAACTCCTACCCACATTATCTCATTTAATCCTCATGATGACCCTAGCAGGTAGATATCATTAGTTTCTCGATACTAGTATATATTTCAGGACACCAAAATCAGAAGTTAAGACATTTGTTAATATCCTAACACAAGTTTATCTGCCTCCAATACCCTTGTGCTTTTCTTTATATAATTAAAATTCCAGTGACCCAAACCACCTTGAAATGAATTTCAGGTAGATTTTTGTCTTACTGAACAGGACAGAAACAGGAAAGTGGGAGGACTACTTGGTATGAATTAAGCTTTCCAACTAGAGAATTAGATGACAAAAGGCCCTAGCAGATGCTTTGGGAAAGTATTTGAAAGCAGTAAAATGGGGTGAGACACTACTCAATGGTACTCATCAAACAACACAGAAGGAGGGTTCAGCTTTACTGTTTAGGAAGCCAAAGGAATGTTATCTAGATCTCCTGGAGGCCACAAGACTCATCTTACAGATGGGAAGGCCTTTGTCTAATCCAGGCAGACTCAGAAAACAGTTTTCTGCAAAATAACGACTCTCCCATGAGTCTGTGGGACCGTCCAGAAGACCCTCGCGGTGCCGTATGCTGCATGCTTAACTTGTGTTCAGAAAGACCTTGAAAAGTCACTCGGGCTCATTTCCACTCAAAGGCTAAATGAGTAAAAGCAAGGTCTAGTGGATGCCAGAACCAGTGTGTCAACCTCATCATGACTGCCTGGGGGTCATGTCCAGGGAATAGGTGCCACATTAAATTTTGAACTGAACTGTGAGCCCTGGATCTGGAAACCACTTTTGTGGGGCAGCTGTTCTCCTGTGCTTTTTGCTTAGATCATAAAAGTAGTGTTAATCCATTGAGAATTTCGGAGGGGTGAGGGGGACAAATCAAACAGATTCTGGACCAACTTGGCCAGGAAAAAAAATAAGGACTGTGTTTTCCATCCCAGGCGTGTACTCTGGTTGGTGTCCATCCCACTCAGGGGCAGCTGTTGTCTGCACTTAGCGTGTCTGAATCCTGAGGCCCACTGGAGAGGAATTGTCCCTCGCCTCTCTGTCCTTCAGAAAAGTTGCCGAAGGTGACCATTTCTGTCTTTTCCTGGGTAATGGCTTTCTCTACAGAAATCATGAAGCTGAACCAAATGTTCTGTGCTTCACTGGAGAGAGACTGGTCTTTTTAACCAGGCTCATCAAACAGTAAGCATTTTTTTGTTGTTGTTCCCCAGATAATAAGTGTTGGTGGGTTAATGGGCCATCTTCAGGAGAGAGGTCAGAAGGAAAAATTGCAGTGTTAGAGCTGGAGCTAGAAATGCCAACCATCAAAGAACATAGTACTCAATAGACAGTGATGATCTATAGGGCGTGCACTGGCCAGCCCCATCTGAGGGGTCACATCTAACCTTTATCCTCAGCAAAGTCAGCGAAGGTCGCTGAATGGGGCTGACACTCAATTCTCTGAGGCCCTCATGAGAAGCTGGCCAGGGAAATCCTGGTGCCTGGGCTAGGGAGTTCCTTTCACTGAGGGAGAATTGTATTCTGGCTCCTTGCAGACTGACGTCCCAAGTACTTTGAACACTGAAAAGAACAAAAAAAGCAAACAGCCACACAAAAAAGGAAGGGAGGGAGGAGAGAAGGAGAGCTAGAGAGATATCAGCAGGGGTAGTTAGTAAAAAGGGGCCGGGAGACAGAAAACCTTTTGTTCCCCAGAGTTCGTTTCATGTAGAGATTGTGAGGTGAATGGCTTTCAGAAGAAATGGGTTTATGAAGGAGTTGCTAGGTCACAGGAAGCACGACTTTCAGACTGCTTTGTGAATTCGATTTCTTTAAAACTTAGGTTAATCTTAAGAATTTATCTCCTTTTCCCGTTTATTTTTTTTTGGGGGGGGGGGGGGGTGGAGGCAAGTTGCGAACGGTTCCCCACTGTGTTGTGTTTCCACCCTTTCTGATAATGTAAGGAGAAATGATCGCATTACAAATTCTTTGTCAGGAATTTTCATAAGTTAAGAAGTGGGCGGGGCATCTCATTACCTTGGCCCACTAGCCAATGGTGGGGCGGTATGCAAATACAGTCCGTGATAGGCCCGCCTCAGTCAAAACAGTGAGCTCAGAAGCTTTGGAGCTTAGCTGTGCCTGAGCTCTGCGCTGCGACTGACAAACCGGCCCCAGCCCGGGACATCTCACTTTCATTTAGCACTGCACTCCATGGAGGGGCGGACACGCCAGTGCTTCATGCAGTCTAACTAGTGTGTCGGAAAACGGCTCAATTCACCGCTGCCGAGATGAAGTATAAGGTAAGAGAGTGCCTTTTACACAAGGTTTCTTGTGTGTGTGTGTGTGTGTGTGTGTGTGTGTGTGTGTGTGTGTGTGTGTGTGTGTTTCCTACTGTGACGACTCTGCAGAGAGCCCTGTGTGCCCGAGAGAGTTTTGAGATGGGTCTCAGTCACTGAGGTTGGCATACAAGCCAGCAGGCAGGACCCAGTCTCTGAGATCCACTCCCGGAGTTCACCGTACACCCGCGTCCATCTCCTCTGAAAATTTTGGAGAGCTGGTCTTAGAGCCGGTCTGCAGCAGCCACGGTAGAGCAGAGGGTGTCTGACTTAAAGCGGAGCACGCATTAGCTCAAGTCTCCCGGCTCCCCCAGGCCTGGCCTCCACTGCCTGGGGGAGCCCGGAGATGTAATGAGAGAGGGATCAGCACTGCTGAGTCTCCGGCTCCTGAAGCAGTTTCCAGCCCATGTTTTAAAGGTTTGGTCTGGGAAGCAGTTTGCCATGTGTACTGTTGGTGGGAGAGAGTAAAAGCTCCAGGTCCTACTATACAGCTGATGATGAAGAATTTTGACATCCTTGAATGATGTTGGTTGTAAGAACAAATGAGTGTTTGCCTATTTCTTGAAAACACTTTTATTGGCATTTGGATGGACTGAGGGTCTGAAGCCTGAGGCCAGTTTGTTGGACCTGGAGTTTGCAGAGTGCCATAACACTTTGGCAGCATTTCCCCATGCACTTACACCATTGTTTGTGTGTTTATTCTTGGCAAAAGGATTAGAACTTGCTCAGCATATCCCATTTTAAGTCGCCCCCCGTTTAGGAGGCAAGCAGCTCCCAGGGACACTGCACCGAAGCAGATGGCAATGAATAGGGTGTGAATTTTCCTTGGAGTATAAATATTTCTATTCCAGAATAGATACAACTCCTAGTGCTTTAAAAAAAAGTGCTATTATTAAAATGAACTCTGGCCAGGTGGCTATGCGTTGGGATTGACTATTTGTATTATCTGTCTGACCTTCAGGACTGTGCTAGCTGGGAGCTACTTTGCTTTCTCTCTGAATTGTGTAGCTTCGGGCCCATCTTTTTTAATGTGATGTTGTAAATACTTGGATCTGGCTAATAGCCACTAGCTAACCTCAGTGATAAATCTTTTGTTCAGAAGTTATAAATCTTACTCAAAGCTCTAAATCTACACGGTGAAAGCCTTTGCTTATAAAGTATGAGTTATAGTTCTTGAAATTTGGAGACACAGGTATCCGTTATCACTCTACTATCAGCTTTCCATTATCTGCCTCAATAGGAAAGATCAGAGGAATGGGTAATCTTAATATTTGACTTCAAGATGCAACCAGAAACAAGCACTTTCATCTGACAGGAACGTTCTCTTAATGTCGTTCACCCCGTACAGCCACAGTTTCCTTATTCAGAGCAATGACAGAACTAGACATTCCCCCGCCCCTGTTGCTGAGCTTTAGTTCATAAAAATTGGCTTGCAGGGAAAAGAGAGAAACTATGTTCATACATTTATTATGGGAAAGTATAAGTGACTGAAATTAACAATGAGTGCTGCAATCTAGAGAGTGACAAAGTCTAAAGTCACTTTTATTCAGTGACCTCCTCATATTTTGTTTTACTCTGACGGAACGGAAAGAAAACATCATAGCAACAGATGATGTAACTTATGACTGGCGTTCACGGAGAAACCCTGCCTCTCTGCCGGGTCTTACTGGTGTTGAATACCCTGCCAAGTGATGTAAAGACGGGATTTTTATTAGGTTGTGGACACTTTCACCAGATAAAAATACTGACTTCTCCAACGGACCACAGTGACAGGTTGACACCTTGGAGTGACTACAAAATGAGCCAATAGCTGAAGCAACCTACTTTCCCGTTCTTATCAGCCTGTTTTCTCTCTAGTTAATAAGAGACAACTTTAAGGAGAGAATTTTGTAATTTTAAGTAGGAGATGACACAAAGGTAGAGCTGTGATAAATAACATTTCTTAAGACACCGTGACAATACAGCATTGTCATCTTTAATTCTCCCAATAACTCTATGAGGTGGGTATGATTATACTCATTTTCAAATGTGATATTATGGTATAGAGAGGCTAAGCAATTTATCCAAAGCCACACAGCTAAAAAGTGGTGGAGCTGAGATTTGAACCAAGACTATCTGGTCCCAGAACTTGTGACTTGAAATCACTATTAAAGAAAAAGAACCATTTGTGACTTCTCTAAGATGTCCTGTGTGATTGCTGTTTTCTTCTCCCAGAAAATTTAAGACCATTTCATTGCAACTATTCCAGCAGGTTAGAGTCTTTGTTGTTGGTGGTGGGTTTGTTTTGTTTTGCTTTGCTTTTTTAGGCAGTATCTCCTCAAAGCAAAGTGAAATGCATGTTTCATAGTTACTTGTTTAACTTGAGCCACGTAGGCAGTAAAAAGCCAGATAATTATTAAAGTGTAAATTCCTGGAATCAGAAATTATCTTTTACACACTGTGTTGTGCTATACACTGTAAATTTAGCACAGACTTAAAAAATGGTCACTGGGAGATTTGTAATCCAGCCACTATAAGATTTTTTTTAAACTAGATTATCTGGTTTGGCTACTTCAGGGATCGGTCCTAACTGGACAACAACCAAACCTGCACTCATTTTGCACTTACACACAGCTCCAGGTCAGCTAGGTATGTATTTACAATAATCTTGAAATTGTGGAATGTCAGCTATTACTTTGGTAAACATTTTTGGTTAGCACCTACCTAGTCTATTTTTATTTCATTATATGGTTTTTTTTATTTGTTCTTAGGAAGACTGCAGTCACTCTCATATGTATTCAATATTCTATTTATCTTAAAGGATTCAGTCTGAGGTTCTGTGGTGATAATTATTGGGGGAGGCGTTACTTACTAAGAGTTTTCCACAAGCCCCTCTGAATATAGAGCATGTTCTGAAATGGGGGGGAGCGGCTGTGGCTTGCTCAGGGAAGGCTTTCCTCCTGAGGGTCTGGAGGTGGAGGTGAATGTGGCTGCTGTCTGCCAGGAGGTAATTGAAGGGCCAGTGCTCAGCTGTGTTTGAGCAGAGGCTGGAGACCGGCCCATTCTGTGCAGGCCCAGGCCTGGTCAGTGCTCTCAGCAGGCACTGCCTGTCGGAGCTCCAATGGCTGAGCAGCTTTTGTGGCTTTGCCAAATTTTTGAACACTATGTGCCTCCATTAAAATTCCAAATTATTTATCTAATCTGCCATTCAACAAATTCATTCTTAAATGTTTGGACTGAAGTTAGAGAAAAAAATAATTGAGGGTCTTCGATTTAGTCGATATGGTCATTTATGATTCCCAGTTCTTTCCTTGCTTTGACATTTTGGTTTCATTTCTTTATTCTCTTCTAGATAATTCATTGTACCCAATTCAAATTAGAAATTCCCTCCCCCACACACATACTAGTACACACACTTTTAAATCTTACGTGAAATCTATAAATTTAAAAGCACTAAAAAGTGCTTTGAAAAATCCTCACTTAATGATTTGTTTTAATATTATTTATTTATTTATTGAGCAACCCATTTTTGGAGCTAAATGACTTACCTACACAGAGATGAAAGTCTTCATAGAGCTGAAGATGTTCTGATAACACCAAATGTAACAAGTTGCACAGTGTGAAACATACCAAGATGCCTTTAGCACCCTTTTCTTGCTGGGATATACATGGGTTGTCTTCTCAGAATTCATCAGTGGCTTCCTGTCTGCACCCCTCCCCCCAAGACTTCTAAAAACAACTTCCTCTCTACTTTTCAATCCCCTTTGCAAATTCCCTCCCCTTTTTTGTCCTCATTGTCTCTCATTTTTTCATTCAGTCATTCCTTATGCTTTTCTAGTAGCTGACTTCTGTAGGGCTTGCCTCCCCAATACATGCAGACATGACATTCTCAAAGTACACCCTCTTTTGACTCTGCTGTGGGGAATCTTTTGACTCTGCTGCTCCCTGATTCATTTGCCCCTGTCTCCTTTCCATCTATGTGACTTGGCTAGTCTGTCATTTCCCACAGGTCAAGTCCATCCTCCTCTCTATGAAGCAATCAAAAGCCCAAACCTTTGTCTCCTTGACTGTCCTATAATCCCTACAAATGGGCTTTTTCACCTCTGCCCTGCCCTGTTAGCACTGCCTAACTTATTAACCCCTTTCCACCAAATTACTTTCCATTAAATGTTACCTGTAACTCACATAGGTTATCCACTGAAGCTGTCTGTACAGCTTTTTCATTTTTTTGGAACCCTAACTGGGAATCAAACCGGTGACCTATCAGTGCACAGGACAGCGCTCAACCAACTGAGCCACACTGGCCAGCGTCAGTTTTTTCTTTTTAACATTCAGTGTTATTTTGTTTTAGTTTCAGGTGTAGGGGACTGTCCAGCTTTAAGTAAGCCCCATTGAACACAAGAAATAAAGAAATAAAGGATGACCTTTGTTTGTAAGTAGAGGCAGGTTAATAAATAAGTCGCTGAATAAAAAGTATGATCGAGAACCTGTTGCCTTGAGGCAGCAGGGCCTTGATCTCATATATTCTTGTAGTAAAGACAAGATAGAGTGTGGGCTTGGGGGGAAGACATTACTTCTTGTGATTTAATGCTCTGTGCCCTTGGGCAAGGTAAGCTCTCTGAGCCTCGGTTTTCTTATCTGAAAATAGAGATATTAGCTGCCTCATTCTATTGTTCTAAGACCTAAACAAGAGAATATATGAATATAAAATACTTACTATGACTCCTGGCGTGTAGTATGTAGACCAGTGATGGCGAACCTTTTGAGCTCGGCGTGTCAGCATCTTGAAAAACCCTAACTTAACTCTGGTGCCGTGTCACATATAGAAATTTTTCGATATTTGCAACCCTAGTAAAACAAAGACCTATATTTTTGATATTTATTTTATATATTTAAATGCCATTTAACAAAGAAAAATCAACCAAAAAAATGAGTTCGTGTGTCACCTCTGACACGCGTGTCATAGGTCCGCCATCGCTGATGTA